TTTTGGCATCCCACTCGTAGCTATTCTAACGATGAAATTGACATCTAATAAACTATACTCTAAAGATTTTTTCTTAAATTATTTTTTTCCAGGGAGATCATCTCAAATTTTGATACTGGTTTTCCCACCTTAACCGCTTCAAATTAATGTGATGGGAAAGTTCATATATTGTTTCATTTAGCAATTGTTTGTGTTCCAGCAAAACTCTCATTTCTTCAACTCACATGCTTTGTCCACCAGAAAATTCAAAAAGACGGTGTAATCGCTTTCCTTCGACTACGTCTCGATATAGTTTTCAGATGTTGAGCTATTGTTGTCCGAAGGTATTGATGGTGTCTGACAATCTCATTCTGTGATGATACTATGGGATTTTGGGTTGCATTTTGTACGGTAACGGTAATTTTTGACACGGCATCACTGAGTCTGTTTATGACTCCGTATACTCTTTCCATCTCCCTACTTACAATCTCCTGCCCAAAAGCTCGAAGATTATTGTTGAAGATTACTGAGTCTGTTTAGGACTCTTTCCAACTCCCTACTTACATTCTCCTGCCCAAAAGCTCGAAGATTATTGTTGACCTATGCCAATCTCTATTATACTAAGTTCCTCACTAAATTGTCTACCACTACTGGGTGAGTTGACAGATTTGATACTTAGAAAATGTGACATATCGACTTAAAATATTTGACCCTATTGTCTATGCTGTGTGCTATAGTGTACGAAAGGCAGTGCTATGATGAGATTCCGAACAAACATTAATCAATTATTTTATACAACGGGTATATTTAACACATGCTATCGCAACTGTGCAATTCGGAACCCAACCATAGCCCTCCATTAAGCGGTACGCAGCAATAAACCACTCAATAAAAATTGACCTCTTTACTCGCTTTCATTTACTTGACTTTAGGGTTATCGATCAACATTTGGACAAAATATTGGATTATCGTTCAAACTTATTTTTTTCTTGCTGGATTTGACTGAATTGTTGTTGTAGCAGTGGTATATGCATGTGTTTGCGTTCTGCTAATCTGGTTCCAGCTCCAGGTTTAGAAATTCGGTTACTTTAACGGGCTGTAGCCAGAGATCTTCTGGAGTTAGTTGGGTAGGTTTGGCTGTGCAATTAAAGAGGTGTAGCATATTGTGCGGGCCTGTATCGCACGCCGGGCAGGCGAATTGAACGTAATTTCGCCAAAACTACCCTGGTTTGTCTAGGCAGCTGACGTTCTTCAGCTGCAATGGATGGGGGTGGACTCCGAGGACGGCATTCACTTTATAACTGCTAATAGCATCCGCGACTGCATCGGTGTGAATGCCACTCAGACCTGCCTGATAGGCTTCTTGATCTAGAGGTTCTCTCTTGTAGCGCTCGACGTCACTCTTTAGATCATGTATGTCCTTCCTGACACGCCTGGGTGGGGGAGATTTATCCACCATATGATGGTTGGGATGACTCTCACGGTAACACCCAAGCAGGTACTGCAACGAAAGCATATGATTATGCTGACGTAAGGGAAGGACTTTCGCCTTCTCATGTAGATGGTCCACTGGTGTCATGAGAAGGCACCCTGTCGCAGTTCTCAGGGCAGCGTTCTGGCAGGTCTGGATATGCTTCCACTGCGAAGCACTAGTATTCGCAGACCACACTGGAGCCACATAGCTGACCACAGACCGACCTATCGCGTTATAAGAGGTCAACAAGGTTTCTTTGTCCGCACCCCAAGAGCTGCCGGCTAGCGCCTTGAGGACCTTGTTCCTACTTTTAATCTTGTCGCAGATAGCTGTGGCTTGTGCGGAAGACTTGAACATGCTGTCGAACGTGACCCCAATAATCTTGGGGTAGTTCGTGGTCGGTATTAGATTCCCCTCGACCTGAACATTCAGCTGTTTTTTCATCTCCGCAGACCATGTGGTAAAGAGTATGGCCGTTGATATTGTGGCGGATATTTTCATATTCTTCGCGTGGAAGTATGCGGCAAGTTCCGCGAGATAGGTGTTCAGCCTTTCGCATATGTCATCGACCACTGGACCCGACGCCATGATCGTACAATCATCCGCATACATTACGATCTCAATGCCGTCTGGAGGACGAGGAATTCCGGAAAGGTAGAGGTTAAAGAGGTTCAGGAGATATCACCCCACCTTGCGGAACTCTCTGTATCACTCTACGGGCTTTGGACTTCTTGTTCCGGAATTCCACGTACGACTGGCGTCCACACATATAGTTGATTATCCAACGTTTCAAACTTGGCCGGAGGGTAGTTCTCTGCACGCCCTCAAACAGTGTGGCATGATTGACCGTATCAAATGCCTTTGATAGGTCAAGGGCTACCAACACTGTTCTGTCACACGGCCTGTTCTGGTTCAGTCTTCTACTAATATGTGTGGAAATGGCGTGTAATGCTGTTGTGGTACTCTGTTGTGGACGGAAACCGTTCTGGTGGTTCACAACTGTATAGCTTCCTCTAATGCTGGGGAGGAGTAAAGCCTCAAGAGTCTTAGCTACTGGCGACAAAAGCGAAATCGGCCTGTACGATTCGCCTTTATTGGCATCCTTGTCTGGCTTCAGTAGCGGGACCACCCGGCCCATTTTCCAGGTTTCAGGCACTATGTGGGTGGCTAGCGACAAATTGAGAACTTTCGTTAAGTACTCGACTCCCGGCATATCCGGTTCCTTAACATTACCATTGAGATTCCGTCCGGGCCCAACGCTTTGGATGACTTAGAGTTACTGATGACATTTGCAACATCACCCATCGTAAACTGTGGTGGTTCCTCCTCGACGGGAAGAGATCTAAAACGACGTAGTACTCTTCGCTTCGCCCTATCGCTCTCGGGGTGCTCGACAAATTGTCGGCTAAAATATTCCGCGCACCTCTTCGGATCAATCACCGTTACGTCGTTAAAAGTGACTGAGGTCCTATCATCCTTTTTTCCAGGGTTCGAGAGCGACTTAACCGTTACCCACAGCTAACTCATATCGGTTTCAATGTTGCAGCACTTCAGATGGTCTAGCCACTTTTTCCTCTTATGCTCCTGTACCAACCTGTTGACTTCCACTGTCAGTTCACTGATTCTAGGATTAGTAGGGTTGGTACGACGAAGATCATCATGCTCGTTTGCTAATCCCGCTGCCTCTGCCGGGAAGTTTGGTCTTATCTCGGGTATTCGACCAGCAGGTATATAGCGAGCGGCTGCAGCTTTGATGATGTTTCGGAAAATCCTTTCTGCTACCCGAACATCAGAAGGGTTGGGCAGTTCTCTGAAGCGGCGGTTGGTGAATTCGCTGAACGCTGGCCAGTGAGCTTTCCTATGGTTAAGGAAAGTGCGGCGTTCAGAGGTTATGAAATCGGGCGACCTGCTTATGGAGACGATTATCGGGATATGGTCTGAGCCAAGAGAAGTGACGGGTCACGTCACGTCATTTATTAGACCGGGTGACACTATGGTTAAGTCTGGCGAACTGTGACACTCTCCTCTTATTCGGGTGGGGGCATCATCGTTAACCGTGCAGAATGTGGAGCAGTCAATCTGCTCTGCCAGCGCTGATCCCCTCTGGTTATTACCTAGGACGGAATGCCACAACTCATGGTGGGCATTAAAATCCCCTGATATAAGCCCAATAATGGGCTTATATCAGGCAAATAACGCGGTTCACAGTTAATAATCGGCGGGATATACACATTAAGCACCTCTACCTCGGCAGTTCCACACTTGACTGCTACACCCATAAATTCCATGTATGAGACAAGCTCAAGCGAAATAGGTCTGTACTGAACAGAATGGTGTAACAGGAACGCTAATCCCCCAACTCCACTTCTGGTGCGATCCTTCCTTAGTACGTTGTAACCATAACAACGTTGTAGGCTGAAATTTTCATTCAGCTTGGTTTCCTGCACCGCTGCGATCTTAATATTCCTTCGACTCATAAATTCCACTATCTCATCTATTTGGCCTCGAAGTCCGTTGCAATTGAATTGCAAGAATGATGCACAATCCGGAACAGCAACATGTGGCGTTAGGTGCTGCGGTGTTGGTTGCTGTTCTGGAGACTGCGGTGGAGTGCCATACTCCAACGACGTCTCTGATGAGGACGACGAAGAAGTGGACTCGTTGGGGACTACGTTACTACAGCAAGTCGCAACATAATCCCTTTCGACTTAGTCCGGAACAGTTCTTGAAGTGCACCTATTCTCTACATACATTACATCGCACCGAAACAGATCTGTGGTGGATGACGTTTTGACAAACTGAGCAGAACCATGGTCCGGGGTTTTCCTCAATCCCGGCACGGACCAATAAAATCCGTAGCAAGCATTCCGGGATATGCTGCTCCCAATGCAGAAAAATAAACAAACACAAACATGTACATACTGTGTTGGCAGCCGCTGGCCGAAACTGGGATCTTCTTGGTCAATCCGGTATCGTAGAACCCGCTGCCGTGGGATTGGGATTTGACTAAATGTTGTTCGATACATGTTTGCAATATTGTTCATATCAGAGAAATTCTCCCGATACAAGTTATTGTTCTTGCCTATTTTCTTCCTTTGTTCTAATAATATGCTCCAATAAATATAAAAAAGCTTATTTGTAATTTTTTTTCATAATAATATTAATATTATTATTGCTGTTGTTGTTGCATATTGTTGACATATTTATTTTACTTATTTGGTTAATTGTTTGGTTTAAGGTTATTAAAAACTATGTTATTTTTATTTTTGAATTTTTCCTTTATTATTCATCCTATATTTCGATTTCCTCCGGAAATCATCTTCAGGGATCTGTTTTATAAAAAAAACACAAATTACAAACTGATTTTAACACTATATAACACAATAAATAACATACATTTTAAAGTAAAAGCTCGTATATTCAGTTTAAATGTCACTATCAAACTTAGTTTTCTTTCGTCTTTACAATATAATATTTCATAGCTATTAAAATTGATCTGTTGGACTGAATAATTAATCTAATCATCGTATTCTCTTTCGATTTGCAGGACTTTTCTTCACAACACAGTCGTAGTATACTAGCAGCACCTAATCAACCGATTTCTGGAAGTAATAGTGGCGATATTAACGATGCTGTTTCATTGAGTAGTCTAATGACTTCTGAAGCGGCCGCTGCAGATTTCCATAATGCGGCAGTCCGAAGAAGCAGTACAGGCGATAATGCAAGCCACGCCAATAACTGTGAAAAGGTTAATAACAACAATGATGTAGTGACTACGCCGTTGTTGCCCAAAACTAACAATTCTAATGCAAAATAACAACGAGCTTTTTAACAGTACCGGTTGCTGTTAACCACACTTCCTAAGATATTAAAAGAAAACCAAAAGCAAACAAAAAACTTAAAGAGAAACCAGTTATGCACTTCAAACTTAAATTTCTTCTTTCCTTTATAAAATAATTTAATTTTAAAATAATCCTTCTGGCCTATTGTCCACAAACCATTATGTTAATAGAAGTATATCTTACAAACGTTTAAATATTAATTTTTATTTAAAATAATACATAAGCAAATAATGGCTTAGCGAGAAGATCGAGAAAACTGCATAGACATTTTTCTTAAAAACGAATCGCATTGTGTTATAATCATGCATTTATTTGGATTATCACATATTGGATGATCTAGATGAATTTTTTCGCAATTATTCAGGTAGCCCTAACTCATTCATAAATACAAAAGTAAGGCGCATTAATATTGCGAATGTATCTTTAATATTTGCTATCTTTTAAATGTAAATAATTTAAATATTTGCTATCGAATAAAATAATAATTAGATTTTAAATTTTAAACTGGTTCATTCATTACACATTTACGATGTGGGATTAGACAACACTAATTTCCTAGAATGTCAATATAAGTCGTCATATAATTTTCTTCAAATAATTACTATTTAATCTAACAAAATTGTACTATGAGTTTACCAACCACCATTTACGAAAGATAATTAAATATCTATGCAATTTTCCTACATTTTCTTGCTCGACCTAACGAAAAAAAAAAACAATTATAAAATTATTCAATTAAGTATTAGAACTATCGAAAACTATCAGAAATAATAGTAACAAAGCAATCTTAAACAAGAGATATATAGTTCTCAATTAAAAAGGTTTTTCTTATTATTTGAAATTTGATATTACCTTTTAAATAATAAAATATAAAAACGAAATGTAACGTTAAAATCTATAAATACACACTTACACATATATGTGTGATTTTCCAATTTTAGTTTTAAAATTTAATAGGAAAACGAATGTAATAATTTAATGTTTAATACCTCATTGCGTACAACAAAAGAATCCTGTTTTTATATAAAAAATGAGAAGTGAAACAAAAAGTAGTATTTATACGTTTGCAAACTGTAGAAAACAACAACTAATTTACTTATCGTATGTACTTAAGCCCAAAAATACAACACTATACTATGATGTATTATTAAAAAATTTGAACGAAAATGTTTTGTTTTTGTTGGTTATAACATATACTTTATTATATTGTTTAAAAGTTAAGTTTTGCATTGATTTCTTTTAAGTTTCATTTTCTATTTTCTTATATTCAGTCCAAAATATTTATATTTTATAATTAGCTCATAATAAAGAATTTAATATTTGATTCTCCAATATTGTATGGCTTTAATCTGGCCAATAAAAGTATTTGAAATGCCTTTAAATATGAATAAATTTCGACATTTTTAATTGAACAATACCAACTATTTAGGAAAAACAAGTAAAAAAGCTGTAATATGCCCTCCATCGTTGGGAACGAATTTGGCAATTTAAAAAAATAAAATCCGTTAAAAATTCTGCTCAAATCTTAAAAATACCGAATGTTGCCGTTATATTAGGGTCTATATGACGACGTGGTCCTGCATAGGCTATAGTATCCATTACGATCTTCAAATACCAAATATGAAACATTTTCTATAAATAATGTCGCTTAAATCACCAAAATGCCGAATATTGGGGCTATACCAAAACGTGCAACATAATATACATTTGAGTAAAATTTTATCAACCTACTTCATTTCGTTCGGAAGCTAAAGTGATTTCCACAGACGGTCGGAACTCTTTAAATCGACATAGAATTTTATGCCGATCAAGAATATATACTTTGTGGGGTCTAAAATGTATATTTTGATGTGTTTCAAACGGAATGACAAACTTAATATGCCCTCTATACTATGGTGGAGGGTATAAAAACGACGTATTTAGCTTTGTGGTTGTTTAACATTATTACATTTTTAATGAAAAGAAGTTTTTTTTTCATTCAAAAGCAATAGTTTGCCCTGAAAATTTACACTCATTACTCGATGGCACACCCGGAACGGTAGATTAAGCTTGAAGGAGGTGGGAAAAATACAACTCTGAAGTAGAATCTCATTTTGTCAAATGGACTTGTAAAGCATGTACCAATTTATTTTGATAATTTAATGTCTCAAATTGAGGAGAAAAGGCAAAGCATTGTAGGTTTCCACAAAATTTAATTGAGGATAAGAAGAAAACTTTGTTTCTCACAAAATTTATGTTATAAATGAATTTAATAATATTTAATTTTTTTACTTTATTAAGGGCTTGTTACGGTACGACGAACGAATGACACAATATTGATTGTCATGACTAATTGTCAAGTAAAATTGTCTTGAAACGGAGCTGTATTTTACTCTGTCGCATACACACAAGAGTGCTTCAACAAGTATGATGAAGTAGTCTTGATCATACTTAGTAGAAATCGAAGCAAACTAACATGTTTATTTGAGTTGAGTAAGCGAAACGAAAAAATTGTGAACAAACACGAATTGATCAAAGCTCTGTGTTCGCAATCAAACAGCTCACATGAGTGATTTAATAAATTGGTACAAATGGTATATTATCAACATATTTTTTATTTCATTTGGCTTTGTGGTATATTAGACCTCAGGGGCTTATATCAAGGAAATCGTTATTTAAAAAAAAGGAACACATCAATGGCATTGAATAAACAAAATATTTTTATTTATTTGTTTTTATTTAACCATATAGACTAAGAATTATAACACAACATTTCGATCATTTTGTTTACCAGACAGTTTGTTGTTGTTGTAGCAGCTCATACATCTGTGTTCGTTCGGTTTCCATTTTCTGACCCAATTCAATCAGGTTCTGCCTCTAAGTCCAGTCTCAAAAAGGTTGCAACCTGTACGGGTTGTGTCCATAACGAGACTGGAGTTCGGTGAGTAGGCTTGGCTGGGCAGCGAAATAGGTGCAGCGTGTCATGTGGGCCTGTGCCACATGCTGGGCAGATGTTCTGCACGTCGCCGTTAATCCGGACCCAGTAGGAATTTAGGCGGCTGCACCATCCGGATCGTAATTGAGCCAAAACTACTCGGGTTTGTCGGGACAACTCTCGTTCCTCAGCTGCGACGGGAGTGGGATGGTCTCCTAGAACAGCATTCACTCTATATCCTTTAATGGCTTCTGAGACCGCATTAGAGTGAATACTATTCAGTCCCGCTTGATAGGCCTGTTGATCTAGAGGCTCTATCTTATACCTCTGTACCTCTCTCTCTAGATCATGAAGGTCTTTCCTAACGTGCCTGGGCGGAGGCTGCCTATCCACAAGATGGTGATTTGGATGGCTTTGTCTATAACACCCAAGCAGGTATTGCATTGACAGCATTTTGTTATGCTGTCGCACCGGTAAGACCTTCGCCTCCTCATGTAGGTGATCGACAGGTGTCATGAGAAGGCACCCTGTTGCGGTTCTAAGGGCGGCATTCTGGCAGGACAACATTTTTCCACTGCGTAGCACTGACGTTGGCGGACCACACCGGAGCCGCATAGTTTACCACAGACCGGCCTATCGCGTTGTTAGAGGTCAACAAGGTTTCCTTACCAGCTCCCCAAGTACTGCCGACCAGAGACTTGAGGACCTTGTTCCTACTTCTAATCTTGTCACAGGTAGCTGTGGTATGCGCGGACGATTTAAAGAGGTTATCGAATATGACCCCTAATACCTTGGGGTAGTTGGTGGTCGGAATAATAGCACCATCGATCTGCACATTCACGGATAGCCCCATCTCTGCAGTCCATGTGGTGAAAAGTGCGGCTGTCGACTTAGTGGCGGATATCTTCATATTCCTCGCAGTGAAAAAGGCGGTAAGGTCAACAAGGTAAGCGTTTAACGGATCGCAAATGTCATCAATAATGGGTCCGGACGCCACGAGCGTACAATCATCTGCGTACGTTATAATCTCTATGCCGTCTGTATGGCGTGGAATGTCAGAAAGGTAGAGGTTAGACAGTTCCGGAGATATCACCCCACCTTGGGGAACTCCCTGTTTAACTCTATGGATGCTCGACTTCTTGTTTCTGAATTCCACGTACGACTGGCGTCCACACATGTAGTTTACTATCCAACGTTTCAAACTTGTCCGGAGGTGTGGCATGATTGACTGTATCAAAGGCTTTTGATAAATCAAGTGCCACCATAACTGTTCTATCGCACGGCCTGTTCTGGTTGAGACCTCTGCTGACATGTGTGGAAATGGCGTGTAAAGCTGTTGTTGTGCTGTGCAATTTTCTTATGCTGGGGAGGAGAAAAGCCTCAAGCGTGTTTGCTACTGTTGACAAAAGTGATATCGGCCTGTATGAATCACTTTTGCTGGCATCCTTGCCTGGCTTCAGTAGCGGGACCACCCTGACCATTTTCCAGGCATCGGGAACTACTAGGGTGGCTAACGACAGATTGAGAAGCTTTGTAAGATACTCAACTCCTGGTTCATCCAGTTGCTTCAACATCACCATTGAGATTCCGTCAGGACCAAGCGCTTTGGATGACTTTGCGCTTCCGATGACCTGTGCAACATCTGCCAACGTAAATTGTGGTGGTACCTCCTCGGCTGGAAGGGATCGTACACGGCGTATGATCCTTCTCTTCGCCCTGTCACTCTCGGGGTGCTCTACAAACTGCCGGTTAAAATAACACGCGCACCTCTTCGGATCTGTCACTTCTACGCCGTTGAATGAGACAGATGTCCGATCGTCCTTTTCCCCAGGGTTCGAGAGCGACTTAACCGTTGCCCACAATTTACTCATTCCGGTACTGATGTTGCAATGCTTCAGATGTTCTAACCACTTTTTCCGCTTATGCTCACCTATTAACCTGTTTACCTCCAGAGTAAGTTCCCTGACTCTGCGGTTATTAGGGTCAGTACGGCAAAGCTCATCTCGCTCGTTTGCTAATCCCGCTGCCTCTGCAGGGAAATTTGGTCTTATTACAGGTATTCGACCAGCAGGTATATAGCGAGCGGCTGCAGCTTTGATGATGTCCCG